CCACAAGCCACCGCCGCCGCCTGCGCCGCACCTCACGGCCGACGCCTCGCCCGAGCCCAAAGCCGTCCGCCTCGCCACCGTCGATGCCGCCACCGCTGGTAGCCCCGATCTCTTCTCACCCGTTCGATGTGGATCCAACGGTCCAGATCGTGATCTGTTTTTTTAACCATTTTTTATTTAGCGGATGTTCGTCCATTAGTCTTCGGTAGCGAATGTTTTCATTCGTTTAGCTTCTGTAGCGAACGTTCGGTTGTTAGAATTTTATTTTTCTTTTTTTTCTGCCAGGGATCTATTCGTAGTTTTTATTTACAGTTTAACCCCTATGTTTCAAACTAGCACATCTTTTTGCTCGTTTGCCAGAATACGATGAAACCAACGCCAAAATCTTCATAGAGATCTCATCTATCCAGTAAACCAACTTGAACATGTTTTTGAAAATTTAAAATTTTGAGTTTAGTTCATATTTGAATTTGAACTTCTTTTGATCGTACCTTGAGTTTTGTAGCTCCGTTTTAGTTGATTCTTTTTGCAAATCGTAGCTAATCACATGTACCGTCTGTTAAGATCTAATCCAGATAATTATAATGTTGTTAAAATTTATTTTCTGTTTATATTAGTTACTTGCTTGTTTTGAGTTTTCTGGATCTTTTCTTCGGTTTTCTTTGCATCTTTTGCTTGTGTGCTTATGTATGCTATTGTTTGTTTACGATAGATTTTACGGAGTGCGAAGCTTGTTACTATGAATCCCTAGAGTTTTCCGATCATCGGCAAGGCAAGTTACACTTTGATCATACTCTTTCAATACCTAGTTTTTACTATGCATTAGTTTCACCCTCAAAGATTTGCATGAGTAGGATTGGGAACATGCGGTTTGGTTGTAGTTCATGAGGTAGGAACCTATTACCTTTGATCACGCCAGGATTATAGGTTATGCTCATACATTGCTTAGCCATGCTTGTAGATGGGGATTAGTTCGTGAGATTCATGCAAGTTGTGAGGGATAATAATTTTGGACAACATTAAGGTGGCAACTTTAATACACATCTGGGTGGATTATTTGGGGCACCTGGAGAAACCAGTGCTAGCCCATGGGAATACCGGAGTACCCATGTGATTACCCTAGGTCCGCCACCCAGGCTCAAAGGGATCATATGATATTTCATGCCTAGAAACTTCCGTGTGCAGCCACAAGCCATTGTGGTCTCTGGCATAATTGAGTAAGTTGTGTGACCT